TGACATAGATTGGGATGTTTCGTTGAGTATTTAATCAAATGGCAAAATGCATGTGTTCACAACCCGATACTACCAATACTAACACAAGTGTGTGTACAAGCCGTATGGCAAATACTGTATATTTCTTTGAACATAGTGTCAATGCAGTCCCATTTTTCATGTGTCTTTTTGTTTTTGCAGACGCACTGGAATTCTCTGAGCTCGAATATATCTACAGCCATACGTAAGTGTATGCCTTTTAGGTATGCTACGATCAACTGCGCGTTTACTTGGATTCCGATGATGCTTCATATGTATTAGATGGACACTATGGTGCGCAATGCGGATGGGTTAGTTTTCGCACAATATATCGGCTAACACTCTCTGGCTTTACAAGTGTCTTCCTTTGTTATTTTTGACAGTTTGTTTGGCTAAACTACTTCCTTGGTGCAGAATATTTTATCATTAAATATCTACAAGCTGATCACGCAGACCAGTATAGACAACCATGTGTATATATATTTATACGTACAAATGTATGAAAATCTATGATCCAACCTAGATATGATATCTCACTATCGCCTACTGCTTCGTATACTTCAACAGTTACAACTATACCTAGACATAGACATATCTGGTACCTATGCATCCTTTACTCCGACAATTACAACTATGTCTAGACATAGACATATTGAAATATAGTCGTACATGTGTTTCGGTTGCTTTCAACGGTGGTTTCAGCACTGAAGACACCTATAGACCCATATATATCAAATGCATACCCACAACATACAACATACATCTATTATGTTTGTAATAAATACATATGTATCATATGCATCTCCATGAAGGTCAACTATGTCTAATATACACGTACCTATTCACTCCAGATCAACGTGTACGTACCTGTCGCGATCCCGATCACGTTCTCTACTTTTACTGCGCTTCGATCTGCTCTCAGACTTTCTCCTTTTCTCTCTGTCCCTTTTAGCCTTTTCCTTCTCGTCGACATTTGGTCGCACTTGCACTACCTGCGGCGCAGCCTGCTCTCATGCACCAATAAGAGTGAATGTGTGAACTATAGGAGTTTAATCTATATATATATTGACTGTATAATATATTGAATTTAAACTATATATATATTGACTATATATATATTGTATTTAAACTATGTATATTTTGACTATATATATATTGAGTTTAAACTACATATAAATATTGGTTGTCGCGCCTTGTAGCGTCACATCTTCATGACCGCCGGTAGCTCATGCAGTATGTAAACAGAAGCCCCATCTTAATAAGTGGTATATATAAATAATTCCATTCACAGGATCGCTGGACTGTCAAACTAAAGGCAAGCACAAACTGACATAGAAACCAAATTCAACAGCAAACACATAGTGGCAGAGACACCTGCACGGGGTATGTGTGATATGCCTACTACTACTACTACTACTACTACTACTACTACTACTACTACTACTACTACTACTACTACTACTACTACTACTACTACTACTACTACTACTACTACTACTACTACTACTACTACTACTACTACTACTACTACTACTACTACTACTACTACTACTACTACTACTACGTACTACTACTACTACTACTACTACTACTACTACTACTACTACTACGTACTACTACGTACTACTAACTACTACTACTACTACT